ATATAGGACTATAGATAACAGTATAAACCTGCTGAATGGTGTAACAAGTACGTGAATGTGCTTAACTGAATGTAAATATATGACTATAGATAACAGTATAAATCTGCTGAATGGTGTAACAAGTACGTGAATGTGCTTAACTGAATGTAAATATATGACTATAGATAACAGTATAAACCTGCTTCAGGTGTAACAAGTACGTGAATGTGCTTAACTGAATGTAAATATATGACTATAGATAACAGTATAAACCTGCTGAATGGTGTAACAAGTACGTGAATGTGCTTAACTGAATGTAAATATATGACTATAGATAACAGTATAAATCTGCTAAATGGTGTAACAAGTACGTGAATGTGCTTAACTGAATGTAAATATATGACTATAGATAACAGTATAAATCTGCTATATGGTGTAACAAGTACGTGAATGTGCTTAACTGAATGTAAATATATGACTATAGATAACAGTATAAATCTGCTGAATGGTGTAACAAGTACGTGAATGTGCTTAACTGAATGTAATTATATGACTATAGATAACAGTATAAACCTGCTGAATGGTGTAACATGTACGTGAATGTGCTTAACTGAATGTAAATAAATGACATCAACACCAGACTGAGTGAGTATGGTTTTACGCCGCTTTTAGCAATATTCCAGCAATACCACTCTGGGGGACACCAGAAATGTGCTTCACACATTGTACCCATGTCGGGAATCGAACCCGGGTCTTCGGCATGACAAGCGAATGCTTTAACCACCAGGCTACCCGACCGCCCCCAACACCAGAAAATAACCAGTCTTGATCATCCGAACAGATTCCATTGTGTGCAAGACAAAATAATGACATCATGAAAATATGTTAGTTGCTCATAATGATTTTGTTTGTTTACATACTGCATATCTCTCAGCAGTAGTCTGTCTGGTATTGTATACTTATTTATGCAGGCTTCATCACAGAAATGGGAAAATGCAATATCCGACAAGATGATAAATAATTTCTTCTTCTTCTTCCTTGCTTACTTGACAGTGAGCGGAGCTGCACGATCGAGTATCAGTAATTGTGCAGCGTCTCCTCCCCACACAGACAGGTCTCCAGGAATGTTTGATTGTCTCGCCCTGGAATGCTACTGTCTAAACAGGAAACAATGGGGCCACCACGTCCATTGTCCAGCTCTCCAGATCTATCCCTTTCATGCTAAAATAGCCACTGGTCATTATCACACCTGCATGAGAGCTACCACAGTCCAGATGAATATTTACCAAGTGCGTTCATAATAAGCCTCTGTTACTCACCGTCCTACAGATCAAAGTCACGTGGGGCAACAACAAATACTTGGGATTCAGGCAGCCGATATAGGTGTCGGTATGTCGATGAAAAGAATATTATAATCAAAGTTTTAATGAGTTTTCTGGATTGAGTGAATGGTGGTTTATGCCACAGATAGGTATATTCCGGTCACACAGAAGCCTGCAAGTAATTGTGTTCAGGTTAGGCAAACAAGTGGTTGACAGCATGAGCAATGATCCTTGGAGTCACACATTATTACTCTCCAATCCTCATTTACTGGTGCTAACAGCATGCATGGGGTTCTGGGGACATATTCTGCCCATGGTCCAAGATGTTTGTTTGGTTGCAGGACATGGAGCTAATATGTGGAAAAACGGTGAAGCCAGCTGTGCTTATCTCAATGTCCAATTAGAGATGTGACACAATGCCCAAGAGGTCAATGTGTCTGTAGGAATGATAATTTAAGACTTTGTTCATTTGCATGTGGGGGACTTGTTGTTTGTTGTTTAACGTGGCACTCAGCAATATTCCAACTTTATGACAGCGGTCTGTAAATAATCAAGTCTGGATAAGACAATCCAATGGTCGATATCATGAGCATCTAACTACGCGATCAGGATACAATGACGTGCATCAACCAAGTCAGCGAGCCTGACCACCCGATCCCATTAATCGCCTTTTACAGCAAGTATGGGTTGCTGAAGACCAATTTTAACTGGGATCTTCACGGGTAGTGTGCAACAATGCCAAATGTCCTGGTGAGGCTAAAATGTGTCAAAAAGGCTGATTTTAGACATCTTAATAAAGAATTTTTCCTATATTTGAAAATGATGCAAGCAATGTATCCGGACTTTCTATGAAGATGTAGACAGGAACAATACAAATGGGTAAAAAAATCATCTTATTCATGGACTAGTTCGATATTATCAGGAAGATAAAAATTCCTCATTTTCACATATTTTCGTCTCAGACATCCAAAATGTGCTTGTCATGATGTCTGGTTACAGAACTGATAACAACTACAGGTCTGAAAGATAATGACAGGTCGGTAGGGTTACCAAAAACACAATGTTTATGTCTTGGCCCGATGGATACCCATTGCCCCATGTATTCAGACCCACGTCCCATTAGCCAGCTCAGTGTCTCACATACATTGCGGTACATTCTGCGTTCCTAATTGTCCATCCAACACAATAGCCAGCATGTCCCTGGCGACATCCACCCACTGTAAGATGACGTACATGTATCAGGTGTTGGGGGTATGTGTTTACACACATCAAGGGATTTGACACGGGACTATTTCTGTTGTTGGCCTTTTAAGTACTTCAACACTGTTTGGTCATAATGGTTATGGCTGGTAATAGATCACGTGAAAGAAATAACAGGAAATGTAATGATCGATGAAATGGATTCTGACCACTAACGTGCATCTATTTCGTAAGAGTTCATCATTCACAGTGTACCGGGGAACAAAACAACATGTCACAAGGCCTCATTCTAAACAACATGGAAAGCATCAATATTATGGAAGGTTTATGAGAAATGTCTTATTGGATTAACGTTTTTTAAATTCTGTAACAGTAGTTATTTCACAAACTCAAATGTCAAGAAACTTCACTCATGTGGGCCTGAGAAAGAGAGACTCAGGTTTAACACTGTCGACATCAATATTTAGACAATATCAACACTGTGACAAGTTTAAGAGAAAAGTATTTCCAGGATAAGCAGATAAGACATATCCCTTTCAAAAAACTTCTTTTCTAAATGTCAAGTAAATCAACTTATACCAGCTTGGACTAGGTAAAAGAGATATCAGCAGGTGGTCTGGGTCATGGCCGACAACAGTAAACTGGACTACGAGGCAAGTCCATGTATATACCGTATTCAACGTAATAAGCGCCCCGCTCTTCTAAGCTCCCACGGCGATATTTGCTAATATATTGGATAGGGAATAATCCCAATTCGCACCCCTTCCGATTGATCAATGTACATAAGTCTCATTTATTTGCGTATAATACGCACTCGTGTGTTATATGCACCCTTGATTATGGGCAATTAAATTCTGGAAAAATATACCTGTCGTACATAAACATTTCAGGCTGTCAGCATAAACCACAAAATTTATCTTTAAGCTCTGTTTTTTTCACCAAAATAATATTCTAATTAGAGCCCCCTATTTCTAATTTTGAGAGCGCCCTGGGCGCTTATTACATCGAATACGGTAATTTAAGAGTTTCACTTACAAATAAAAGCTACAAAACTCTTTCCATAATCATAATTTCTGCAAAAAGCAGAATCCATTGTACAATTCCAACTGTATGATAAGCTGTGTTTATTAATCATTATCTAATACTGATGATACCAGAGTTCGCAGAAAGGAGAGCATACACTGCCCCACAGATGGCACTTGTCACAAACACATGCAAAGATAAGTCAATTGATCATCTGAAAAACCTTTGGAATATATGGTCCAAGTCAAAATAGGAATTGCATCTGACATCATTTTTGTCATTTATGCATTATATTTGGAAATGTCCTCCACATGTCTACCACAAAACCTTTTAAAAGCCGCACTAAGCGTAACAGTTTCCTCTGCAACACTGGCTTAACGACAGAGGGCTGATTGAATGTTCTTTTGGCTACAGTCTGCAATATTCTAGCCTTATCACTGTGACATGTAAATAATCAAGTCAGGGCCAGACAAAACTAGTGGTTAATAGAATGAGCAACAATTCATGCCTTGGGGGCATAACGACACACAATCAGTAATCGGTTTCTTCTATTCATGAATCATTTTTTGTAAAGATGGCGTCTACTGACTGTACCATATGACTGATGTTGATGAGGAAATTGATGATGGAACATTTCCTAGTGATTATATAATGTAATGAATTTGATCAAAGACTACATTTACTGAAAGAAGCCATTGGTGACCTTGACCTCTGCAAAAAATACCACTCCATCTTTGCAGAAATGAGAATAAAAAGCTCATTGCCAAGTTTGCTCTTTGTAGGATAATGAACAGGTAAAGTCTGTGAGGCACCACTGCAGTAGAATAATCATCTGAGAAATATTTGATAGGGACCATGACACTTGATCACATCCTTTCACTGATCCACAGTGCAGTCATAGTGTCATTGCTCGGATATGTCAAGATGAGAGTCTGAATACACGCTGCAGTCAGCAATTGTCCTGTAATAAACACACCAGCCTCTATATAATCAAGTCTCGGCCAGCCAAACTTGTGCTTGACAGTACTATGCCATCCTGGCCATCTAGGCATTATGACAAACAATCAGTTTGTCTGTTTATTGCTCAACACCACTCAGCAATATACCAGCTATATGAAAGTTATCTGTAAATAACATGTCAGGACCAGACAATCTAGTGATTGATGCAACGATCTACGCAAAGGGATACAGCACAATGCATCTACCAAGTCACCAAACTGACCAATCTCTCACAAAAGTCGCCTCTTACGACAAGTATTGATTGCTGAAGACCAATGGTGACCCGAATCTTCACAGGGGGACACAAAATCAAAAAGCGCACTCAGGGTATCCAACCAATCCTCATTAGTCAGCTCTAGGATAAGCTACTGAGACCTATCCTGTCCCGGAGTTGGATCAGGTTGGATTATTTTGAAGCCTTTTTGTCCTGCATGTGTACACTTTCAGTGCTGTAGGTGGAAGAATGAGGAGCCTTACCTGGAATGAAGGAGTGCAGTGTACTGACACTGACTTTGCTGGCTGTGGTCACATGACGCCGGTTGGCACCCTCGAAAACCAGAAATAGTTGTGCATCTTCTGGGAAACTAGTATCTTCTGTCAGAGCCACAACAATGGTGCCACCTCCCTAGAGCAACAAATTAAATCTTTCAAACATCTTAAGATTAAATTGCCAAAATTTATTCAAAGTAATTTTTGCGAGTAATCCGCAACTGGATTCAGAAGACTCAAACTTTAACATCAACTCAGTTTGACTAAACAAAACTTCAAAAATATAAAAGTATTGATAAAACAAATTCGTTTCCTGAATGTCAGGAGAACTAAAAGTGCAATTCTTCAACAGCTATAATTCTAAAAGGCAATTCCAATCGTGCAAATTGGTCCCTAACTCATTGTAACGCTTGGTTTCCATTAAGACTACAGTCTTTGATTGCACTAACGAGGCCAACGTCTGACCGTGATGGGAATAACTCCCACAATGCCATATACCAAACAAACTGAGTGCGGCAATCAAAGCATCCCTGTGATTAGGTGTCTAACAACCAATGATAGGTCAGTAGATGCCAAAGGAAACGATACACGGAAAGGACACACACATTCGGTTCCATACACAATACAAAGAGTCACACTGAATGCATTGTCTGTGAAACAAAGGTATTTGTGGTGACAATTCTATCCATATCTAAACTCAAACACAAATCACAAGACAAACATTTACCGTATTCGACGTAATAAGCGCCCAGGGCGCTCTCAAAATAAGAAATAGGGGGCTCTTATTAGAATATTACTTTGGTGGAAAAAACAGAGTTGAAAGATAAATTTCGTGGTTTATGCTGACAGTCTGAACTGCTTATATACGACAGATACATTTTGCCAGAATATAAATGACCATAATTAAGGGTGCATATAACACACGAGTGCGTATTATACACGAATAAATAAGTCTTGTGTACCTTGATAAATCGGAAGGGGTGCTAATTGGGATTGTTCACTAGCCAATATATTAGCAAATATCGCCGTGGGCGCTTATTAGAGCGGGGCGCTTATTACGTCGAATACGGTAATTCATAGTGATTAATTCTACCATGTTTATATATATTTTCCATTTACTCACGGTACATATACCACTATAATTCAGTCATATTTTCGTCCTTTTCACCAGGACTCGTCAAAATACTGTCTAAATATTTACATGATATACTTCTGTATTACAATCAGTTTGAAAGGCCCTACCCGATCCCTCCCAATCCCCCCCTTGGTTATTAATACCTCTGTAGAAAGGGGCGGTGGAGTAGCCTAGTGGTAAAAGCGTTCACTCGTCACGCCAAAAGGGGGTTAGATTCCACACATGGGTACAATGTGCAAAACCCATTTCTGGTGTCCCCCTCTTTGAAGTTGTAAATATTGCTAAAAGTGGTGTAAAAACCATACAGACTCACTCGAATGCCTCTGTTAACTATTTTTCATCCGCAATAATCTTAATTTGGGCCACATCATTATTATATGTATCCTCTTGATAACTTACCCTTGTCTTTAAACTGATACCAAAGAAAATGTTATTGTACAATTATTGAATAATTTGAGACCTTAAAATTGTCAACAATTTTCATAACACTATATTCTCAAAAGCTACAACATCCTAGTTCAACTGTGGAGAACAAGGGAGGTAGCTCAAGTCAGGTTCAGATTCTGACAAGGATGAGTCAGAAGCATCTTCTAATTGGCAAACATGGGGTGGGGGCGGACAATCAGCAGGACTAACATTGTTGTACCATCAGAGTCCCTTCTAAACCCTCAGTAATGAGGCCTAGACAGTCCCACCTAGTTGTCTCTACTCCTGATGTCCATGACACTGACAACAGTCCTGATAAGACAGGGAGTCATTACAACAATCAATGAAATATGAGGTATGGAAAATAGAACGAGGTTGTGTAGCTCACCTGTTTTAAGCTAATTTATCATCTGACTTAAATAGATTTACATCCTATTTCCCAACACATTTATGGACAATACATGCAGTCAAAACTAGAACACGTTGAATGAGTAAGCTGGTTTTATGGTGGTTGTATTTTAGTAATGTCACGGTTGGGGATGCTAAGAATAGGCCATGGTGGCTAGCTATATTCATTATGGGAGAGCTTCGATGGTTCATGAAGAGATGATGAAAGACTGCATATGAAGAATGTGCAAATATCCAATCAAATTGAAATAAATAAATTACAAATCATTCCGAGGCATTTCATTGGGATAACCAAGCCAGTTCTTTTTCATTTATGTTTCCAAAAATAAATAACAAAAATGGCCACGCTAACAACCAGACTTCTTTCTTTATTTTACAACCAGACTACTTTCCTTATATAACAACCAGACTACTTTCCTTATTCAACAACCAGACTACTTTCCTTATTCAACAACCAGACTACTTTCCTTATTCAACAATCAGACTACCAAAATGGCCATGCTAACAACCAGACTACTTTCCTTATTTAACAACCAGACTACTTTCCTTATATAACAACCAGACTACTTTCCTTATATAACAACCAGACTACTTTCCTTATTTAACAACCAGACTACTTTCCTTATTCAACAACCAGACTACTTTCCTTATATAACAACCAGACTACCAAAATAGCCATGCTAACAACCAGACTCCTTCCCTTATTTAACAACCAGACTACTTTCCTTTTTCAACAATCAAACTACTTTCCTTATTCAACAATCAAACTACTTTCCTTATTCAACAATCAGACTACTTTCCTTATTTAACAACCAGGCTACTTTCCTTATTCAACAACCAGACTACTTTCCTTATTCAACAATCAAACTACTTTCCTTATTCAACAATCAAACTACTTTCCTTATTCAACAATCAGACTACTTTCCTTATATAACAACCAGACTACATTCCTTATTCAACAACCAGACTACCAAAATAGCCATGCTAACAACCAGACTCCTTCCCTTATTTAACAACCAGACTACTTTCCTTATTTAACAACCAGACTCCTTTCCTTATATAACAACCAGACTACAATCCTTATTCAACAACCAGACTACCAAAATAGCCATGCTAACAACCAGACTCCTTTCCTTATATAACAACCAGACTACTTTCCTTATTTAACAACCAGACTACTTTCCTTATTCAACAACCAGAGTACTTTCCTTATTCAACAACCAGAGTACTTTCCTTGTTTAACAACCAGACTACTTTCCTTATTCAACAACCAGAGTACTTTCCTTATTCAACAACCAGACTACTTTCCTTATTTAACAACCAGACTACTTTCCTTATTTAACAACCAGACTACTTTCCTTATTCAACAACCAGACTACTTTCCTTATTCAACAACCAGACTACATTCCTTATTCAACAACCAGACTACCAAAATGGCCATGCTAACAACCAGACTACTTTCCTTATATAACAACCAGACTACTTTCCTTATTCAACAACCAGACTACCAAAATAGCCATGCTAACAACCAGACTACTTTCCTTATTGTCTGATACCAGAAGGGATGGGGCTTGTGTTAATCTTTATGTATTCACAAAGTGTGCACACCAGTTTTAAGTTTATACCTTAAAACGCAAAAAATATTGAAGTGAAACTTAAAAGTAAATCTAAAAGTACATATAACACTGGATTACGAGAAACAGGCCATGACATAAGCCAACTTCACCTCCGATCAGGTGGTCCACATCCGCAGATAATAAACTAAAACAGTGTGCTCTTAGTAACAGGTGACCAATAGATCCTTACTGTGTCTCGACAAGGTAATACCTAAACATACTAGATCCTCCATTAGTTGAACTGTCAGACCCTGTCAAGTATTGACAACACTATCAAACATTACCAAAATGAGTTCCGAAGATTTCCGCTACCGTCTCTAAAACTGGTCCCCAGCAGAGCTTGTGATTGGCTGACGACATTCCCAGTCAGACAGGAAATAGGAGACAAACCTACACAATCGGGGGAAGCAATGGCTGACCTTTCCTGGCTGATGCTAAACTACGACTGATTGGCCCTTGGGAAGACTGGCTATCTGGACTTCCACGTACCACATGTTGATTCAACCTACACACTATCCTTTACTGTTTTTCTATGTTTTTTTCGGTTTGTTGATTTCAGAAAGCCTTGGCCACCTTCAAGAGACATTGAATGCAGTGGTCATGTCAAGGGACGTACAGACACAAGCCATCAGTGAATCAGCTGTATGAAGTTTAAAACTAAAATTAAAATTGGTTTTACTATTGAAAACATTCATTAGGGTAAAGCTAAGATTTATTAAGAAAAACAATAACTTGTAAGAAAAAAAAAAGGTACAAGAATCTGTACTCTACTACGAAAGTGTAATCCCAAATATAACATTTGCTACATTTGACCACTTTCTAAATGGCATTGTGTATTCATAACAATAACCATTCGCCAAAAAAATACATAAATTGTGGATGCCTAACTTTGTAATTGATTGGATCCACATTCAAACAAAAACCTCCTTAGAACTGCAAGAAATCTTATATCACGTTCACCTGCAATATGTATTTGATATGAAAATAATTTGCATAACTGCACATTTTTGTGTTTTCAGTAATAATTATTAAGTGCTGTTCTTGAAGAAAATCAATTATTGTGAGTACAATAGTTCCAACATGTTCCAATATTATGTCCTTCCCCTTCAAGACATCGTATTTTGCATTTTCGACCTGAAATCTGGTTTCAGGAAAATGAGTGAGAATGTTCCCTAGGTCATCATAATAGTATTATTCCAGACATATCATGGCTTAACCCACTGCGGGAATCAAACTTCGCCATGGAGAGCCAGCCCTTTAATAACAATGCTGCACGACCAGCTTCATTTTAAAACAAATGGTTCATGAAGTCAAAGGGACAAGTGACAGAGTATTGTTTTATGCTGCTTTAGTAATGGGACACCAGGAATGGGCGTCCTGTGTGATGGGCGCTTTAACCACTAGACAACACCACCACCCATCAAGAAGTCAAATACTCACATAGACAGGTGCTTCCTTCGGTGAAAATGCCATTCGACTCTCTTCTGAAAAAAACAAAAAAAACGGAACATCAGACATATAGTTACGTTTCAATCCACTTGGTTTTTTTTAAACATTTAATACCATAAAGTATTTACATAATCCAGATCCAGGAGTCACTTACTCCATATACAGACACAGGGACACTGACTGGGACACAAGGACAGATTCAGGGGCAGACAGACAGACACAGGGACACAGACAGTGATACAGACTCAGGGACAGACAGACAGACACAGACAGTGATACAGACTCAGGGGCAGACAGACAGACAGACACAGGGACACACACAGTGATACAGACTCAGGGACAGACAGACAGACACAGGGACACAGACAGTGATACAGACTCAGGGACAGACAGACAGACAGACAGACAGGGATCCAGACTCAGGGACAGACAGACTCTGGAACAGACAGACAGTGATACAGACTCAGGGACAGACAGTGATACAGACTAAGGAACAGACAGACAGACAGACAGACAAAGACAATGCTACAGATTCAGAGACAGACAGACACTGACAGTGATACCGACTCAGGAACAGACAGACAGTGATACAGACTCAGGGACAGACAGTGATACAGACTGAGGAACAGACAGACAGACAGACAGACATACAAATGACACAGACTAAGAGACAGACAGACAGACACTGACAGTGATACAGACTCAGAGACAGACAGACACTGACAATGATACAGACTCAGAAACAGACAGACAGACACAGACAATGATACAGACTCAGAGACAGACACTGACAGTGATACAGACTCAGAGACAGACAGACAGAAAGACAGACAGACACAGACAATGATACATATTCAGAGACAGACAGACAGAAAGACAGACAGACACAGACAATGATACATATTCAGAGACAGACAGACACTGACAATGATACAGACTCAGAGACAGACAGACACTGACAATGATACAGACTCAGGGACAGACAGACACTGACAGTGATACAGACTCAGAGACAGACAGACACTGACAGTGATACAGACTCAGGGACAGACAGACAGACACTGACAGTGATACAGACTCAGAGACAGACAGACACTGACAGTGACACAGACTCAGGGACAGACAAACACTGACAGTGATACAGACTCAGAGACAGACAGACACTGAAAGTGATACAGATACAGACTCCAGAGACAGACAGACACTGACAGTGATACAGACTCAGGGACAGACAGACAGACACTGACAGTGATACAGATACAGACTCAGAGACACAGACCCAGGGACACATACTCAGTGATCTACTTCACCACCATCAGTGGTTTCAGAGCAGGGAATATCATATTGAAGACATATGCAAGCTGTTCAGCCTCGTATCTCATGTCAGACATATCTATGTGTATATATATATACATCACAGACTGTTTTAGTCTTGACGTCTGAACTGTCCTTGGCATCATTTCAGTTGATTTTAATTGAAATATATAGACTATAATTAGATAACCTTATCTGTTTATAGGACGAAATAAATTTTAGTCAACTCAGGACTTGTGGATAAGGTTACAGGCTATCATTTGTAAAACAACTTTTTCCAAGATCACCAGCAAATGGGGAAACCTTAAGTTTTATATCAAGATTTCACTTTGAAAATGAGATGGTTGATGCACGTTTGTATTGATCCCTCATTCACAAATCTTTTCCTTTTGACAAAAATCTTTCTTAAAATTCAACCTTCATTTTCTAATAAAAAGATTATATTTTCACTATCATACAGGTCAAAACAGAATTTGGATAATTGTTTCACTTCACTCCTTAACATTAGAAACTGTCATAAAGGTGAAAATAGGGTTTAAAGTCGCGTTCAAGATCAATGCACTTACATAGTGACGTGTGTGCACATGTGTGTGTATGTGGCCATTGGTACTACTCCGGATTTTTGCCAGTTTTATAGTGCTAGCCCACTGAGATACTATACCACAGCTTAAAAAGGACACCCAACTCTAACACAGTACGGACACCAAGCCCACAAGTCCTTGTTTTATCACTTTAAAGCCAAGCGCCTGGCAGGATAACAACAAGTACCATCTTTTAACGTCTTTTGGAATGATGCCGCTTGGGATCGATCCACCGACCTTCCGCTCTCCAGACAAATGCTCCATCCAATTGACCATTGAGACAGTCCAGAAAATGTAGAACCAAAGCAGGACGGAGAGTGACCTATTCTCGTGTCATGTTGTCGATCAAATTTTGTTTGTTCTTTCAAGCTAACTAAAATACCTCAAAGTGTAACATTGAATTGCCACACTGGGAGAGCAAATATGGCCACAACTACCTGATGCAAAACACTCCTGCATCATCGTGTTATAGGGTAACTGGCCTTATTTATGTGGCGCAATCTAGGACAGTGTAAATATTTTGGGTTGGGGAATGATAAAGATGACATGTTGCCGGAAACCCACCACTGTTTACCCGTGCCCCTTATAAAGCAGTCCTTTGAGAAACATTGAAGCCAGTAAACAAAGGGTGTGATTGATGAAACATAGCCAGTTCTCAGTCCTAAAGATTCATGTGCTCACTTCTTGATAATATTGGTGGTTAAGTCTTTGAATAATATTTAATGGGTAACATTTCAGGGAAAGATACAGATACAGATCTTTATGATTTCATTACATAACTTTATAGGCAACAAAGCCATTTTAACATGGCATATTTATCATGTTTATCATAATTTTTAAGATACATATCAAAAAGGTCAAGGAAATATTTTGGTTGATTTACCAATAAAACTACATCTTATGATGAAGAAAAAACATTCAGCAGTTGGAATTTTTCCCATGACATGCATCAGTCAGTGACGTGTATCCCTGCAGACATATATCAATCACTGACATATATCACATACAAGACTATATGTCATCATGGTACGGCTGTAGTCCATGTGTCAAAATAAGCTGATGAAGTTGTGAACAAAGATCATTGACAGGAAGGTGAGAAGTCAAGGTGGGCTAGCCACACAAGGTCAAGTGTCAAGACCTTAGCATAATCCGGCCACAAATGCCTTACTGTGTACACACTGAAATGAATGATAGTCTGGCGATAAAGCCCAGCAATAGTCGGCCATAACAGCCAGGTAAGTAACAGGTGATAACAGATATATCACACAGGTCGACAAGGTAACATTCAGTGACGACAGGAGGTTATCACTGCTATCAACGCTCCTAAGCCTTTAACAAAACCTACTATGTTAGAGAGGCAGTAAAACAATTTCATCCATGAAGGGAGGCAGACATCTTGAGACATCCGAGGCCATCAGCAACAACAATAAAATAGTCTTGTTTCTCACAACTTAAGTTAAACTGCCATCTTGACCTTTCCAGAATCTTTCAGACGAGAAAAGATTGCTAACGCATAACATGTGGATATTTTCTCTGCACACATTATGACTAGATACAGTCTTTCTCCTCCTTACTAATCTGACCATTAAACAAATACCAAGTAGGGGCATATACTTAGCTTGTTCAAATATTTCATGTACCAAGTCTTGGGAGTTTTACAAACTCAATTATTTTAGCAGAAACTCTAGCATGATGATCATGACCATGTATAACAGGTGCTTTAAGGCCAACATAATATTGTCAAGGCTAACAGAGAATGATATTTTCATTTCTAAAGAAAAAATATGTACAAAATTTATGCCGAAAAAAAGTCAATGGTCTTTCCCTTTCAAGGTATAATGCCACTTTTATTGCATAGGGAAATACATAAAGGTGGGTGTGACAGCTTAGACTAGTCCAGACTTTTGTCGGTTTTATAGTGCTAACCCTACTGAGATATGATGCCAAAGTTTATTGTGAATAACCCACTCAAGACACATTCAACCAAGTCTGAGATGACCAGCCCTTGTTTTAGCCCCTTAATGTCAAGTACCAGGCAGGGTAATAACAACTACCATACTTTAATGTCTTATGGTATGACATGGCCAGGGAACTGAACCATCAGACCACGGAGGCAATGCTTGTCCTTTTAAACTCCTGTACACCTCTAATAATTTGTTTAAAAAATTATTTAAAAAAGGAAAACTCCATAGAGAGTGTATTGGCCCAATGAAACACCAATGGTTGCAACAATGAACATGTGATTTCTAATGAGAAGAACACGATCACAATTACTTTTGTGTCTGAGTATATGTCAGGTGCACAAGGCATCACCTAATACAATTGGTACTTTTCAATACAATGTTAATGGAACTCTGGTACCATCCTTATACCATCACAAACATAAACTTCCATAGCATGACCTCTACAATACAGAAGAGACGTATATCAACACCATTTCTTATTATTATTCGTGTACTTTTTTAAAAGTCATTGCTTCCATGTAATTACAACTAAGAGGAAAAGCAAAGGATCGGAATAAATTGTCGTCAAGTGTGCCATGGGGCACCCATGAAATTGTTCAGGTATACCTTTCAGGATTTAAGTGTGCCAACAAGAGCATTTATGATCCATCTTTGAAACTGGTGAATCTCATTCTACCACAAGCTGGGCCAGAAGCTATTGTCATCCTGTCACTTTATTGAGTCAACAAATACCATTTTCAAGTTAATTTATTTTTATCATACTATGCATTTAGGATGTGTTTGTCAAGTTTACTCATGTGAAAGTACATTCATTTTTGTCCAAACAAAATATGATTTCTGAAGATGCCCTTCTGGGACCAGGATTTTATTTTACCCGTGCCATTATGTTTTTTCCGTGCAATGCCAACCCCGCAGTAGTAGAGTTTTAAGACGGGTCGTAATAACATGGTTTCCTGGGACCATGGGGGACCACAGCTGGCCCAGTTAACTGAGGCACCACAATTCGCCTTGGGCACACCAGAAACTTATGACCGTGGGTTCAAATCCCATGGGTTGTACCAAAGTGGTAAATCTAAGATCTGTACCACTTCAAACTTTCTTCCACGTCAAGCTGACACACCGTGATATAACTGGACTAGAGTTCAAAGCAACATTGGACCCAACTTGCTCACCTTT